GCGGTGGCTAAAGGCGGCGGCGCTCCTGCGCGTGGCGGCTGCGCTACAGCGGCGCGCGCACGCGAGGTGGAGGAGCGAGGGAGGTGCGGCGCGAGCTGGGGAAGGCGAGTTTATGGCTGGATTAGGCGGAGGCACGGCGGAGGTGTGTCGTCGTCGTCACGGGCGACTGCGGCGGCGCGGACCGGCGACGAGAGCGCTGTTCCGCTGCGTCTGCTGATCTACAGATCAAAATAAAAGTATGGTGAGAAACACAGAGCCAAATTAAACCCAGAACGAGATCTATAAGGAAGATAGATGCCTCGAAACGTGCCGGCCACGGTGAGGGGCTTGCGGCGGCCATGGCGGACGGCCGCGGCGGAAACGGCACGCGCAGGCGATTCCAGCGACGAGGAGCGACGCAAGCAGGCTCAATAGAAGCGCAAGGGGGTGTATAAGCTAACTGCTAGAGCAATTAAGAAGAGGGCGAGCGGTGGCGGAGAAATCGGCCGGCGAAGCAAAGCTCGACGGCGGCGGCAGAAAGAGGAGAAAGAGAGGACGGCGGGGTATTTAAACGGCGAGGGCGACGTCACCGGCTTCTCCAGCGCCTTCTCGAGCACGACCACGCGGACAGTCACGCGTCCATGCAGGAGAAGCGCCGCGAAGGCGGTCAAACGGCGCACGGCGGCGAGCAGGCAGGCAGCCGAGCTGCTGCCGGTTCTACTGTAGCCGACTGAACCCTCCTCTTCCCTTCTCTTTTTCTCTTGATTCCAAACAGCAACTCGAAAAACTTCACTACTATAACTTGTTCAACTTGATGAGATCTCCAACTTCTATTAAGGAACCAACATCAAAATATCAAATATTTGAGAGATTTTGAATGAGGAACAGAGATACTTTGAAACTGATTTCGGAAATTCAAAGTTTGAAAATTTTGGTTTGGTTAAGCAACTTTGGTAATTAATTAGAGGTTAAACATCTATCAAATTTAATAACCAATTGCACAGTATCATAACTCAAGTATAGGACCAAGCAATGAAACAAAAGTTGTACAAATTTTATTCATGAAAATGGATTTAAAAACTACCCAAAAATTGAACTTAATAGCTGATTCTCAAAGACTTAGGTATAAATGGCTAAGTTAGAAGACCACCCTCAGATCCAATCTTTAGGCTCCAAATTAAACATGTTTGACTTAAAATCACCTTTGAATTTTGATTCTACATTATAAAAGCACACTTTGTACTACAAATTTAATTTGAACAAAATTTTACTTATTTAAGCAAATTCACATATATAAATTCACAAAGTTTCTTAATTACTAATATTGACATCATTTCATATAACATAAGAAACATCACAATTGCAACATATAAATCATACATATGCAACATATATATGCTATAAATGAAACATGGAATGAATTTATGCCACAATGCTTATGCATGCTGATGATCATGATCAAGGTTTTATTAAGTTCGCAACACCTAGGGTGTTACAATGGTCAAAATTACTCGAATAGTTATTTTATCTTTTTTGGTTATTTTTTCTGTATATTTTATTTGGTTCCTCTTTCAAATTTTCTAATTTAGCTTCTATAGAAATTATCTGGCTAATATTTTTATTTTGTGTGTTAAATATTTCTGTATTACTTGATAGTTTCTTTTGGTTCATTTGATCTGGATCGAATGGTCACAGGAATCGAGTGTAGGTCGGATGAGAAACACTTGGTTCTCCTTTGTTTTCCCAATCGAGTGTTGGGCTGCCATTTAATACTCAGGTATCAACTGCCTCCAAAACAACTGACCGTACACTAGACACATCCTTATGCAATCTAGGTTCGTTTTGACATTTCTATAATTTGAAACGAAGGGAGTATATGATTGAAAAAAATTGTTTTTTCTTGTTTCTTTGCTGTCACCATTGAATTTAGGTATTGATATTTGACCAACAATGTTCTTTTCTTAAGTGTATAATCATGTAACACGAAAATGGTATAAATAAACGGTTTACTAACGTACGTTTGGAGCTATCTGCTTTAGCATTTGGCTATAAATATGTTGTCAAAGTGTCCGGAATTATTCACTTTAACATCAAGCACCTTACGGTAAGAAATACACCACTAACAATGGCATAAGTTTCACTACCAGCAAAATGATGTATTCATGCGGCAAAGATGTCCGAGAGCATAATACCATGCACATTTAATGAGTGCATATAAAACATTTTGCTAATGTGACATCAAGTTTAACGAGAGAGAAGAAAAAATTTGGCAGCAAAGACCAAGTTTTTAAAACCAGAAACATATTATGCGTTCATAGTGTAAGTGTAATCAAGCTCTAAGTGGGTTTTGATGATATTGACCACATAATTAAAGAACTAATGGCTTTGACAAGTGTTTAACAGCATATCTTTAATCGTGGATGCAAAGAAACAAAGGTGGAGATCCCCCAACTCGAATGGATGGCTTGCAACGGCTCTAAGAGCTAGTTTAATTCATTTTATATTTTGAAATTGAGTCATAGGACAAGCCGTATTATCAAGGGGGATACTAATGGTGTGCTGGGTGGAACCAAGTGCTCAAAACTCCATCTACATCTCAAATAATCCCAGCCACAAAAAGCCAGCCGAGTTAAATTCTTATCTACTCAGGCCTACGCGGAACCTCCGCATACTGACGCGGAGGCTCCGGGATATGAAAGACCCGATCGTTTTATGGGTCATATGGATGGTATTTATACCATACCCCCTCGTCCCCAACGGTTATCTTCTCTATTTCTTCATTCCTGACGAACATAAGCGCTCTCTCTCTCTCTTCCAAGCTTGGTGCTCCCAACTTTCTTACTCAAATCTTTGTGATTCTTTGAAGGATTTGGCTCTAGAGAGTGTGAGAAAGCTCGAGAAGATCATTCTCCTCCGTTCTTGTGCAATTGGTGAAGCCCTAGCCGCTTGGGGTTTTCGTTTCTCTTGGAGCTTGGCTCCTAGACGGCTAGCGGTCGCCCGGTAGCTCTCAATCCGTTGTGGTTGAGCAACGGGACGTTTGTATTATCCTTTGTGACTTAGTGGAACCCTCTAATCCATTGCCTTGGTGATAAGTTGGAGAAAATGAGTGAGTTGAAAGAGACTCCATAGCCTTTGTGGCTAACCTCAACAACATGGACGTAGACGAGCCTTTGTGGCGAGTTGAACCACGAGATAAATTCTCGTGTCCTCTGTGATTGTTGTTGTTGTTGCTATTACTTGTGATTTGAATTGAGTTTTAGGGTTTGCATCCGATCTACGAATTCCTTATTTTCTAGGTGCAACTGACTGTTTGAATAGCTCAACACACTTCCCAAGAAGGCTGATATTACATTCGGTCTATTTTTCATTCGTTAAATTCTGCAGTAGATCGATTTCATATTCTGATCTCGGAGGTTCCACGCTCAGTCCCGGAACCTGCACGCCCTGGAACCTCCGCGATCATACCTGGAGGTTCTGCATTCTGACTGATTTTGTGAAGTTGATTAAATTTCAGAGAAAGGCCTATTCACCCTCTCTAAGCTACTTGCCAGATCCTTTCACATAGACACAACTCATATAAACAGTTAATTAGCTTTTAAATCCTTAGAAATAAATTTATAAGTGTATGCATCGGAAGGGTGATAGCATGTCTTTTTCTAGGGGTGATCACCCATTCTTCCACAGGAATGAGGTCAGCGGGTGAATTTGGGTGGCCATCCTAAATTGGGGATCCTAATAGGGGACCGCTGGAGCTGTGTTTTTTATCTGAGCATCCATATTTAACTATGGGGGCTAGGGATGATCACCCATTCTTCCACACGAATGAGGTCAGGCGGGTGAATTTGGGTGTCCATCCTAAATTGGGGACTCTCGTAGGGGACCGCTGGAGCTGTGTTTTTTATCTGAACATCCATATTTAACTATGGGGTCTCAAGTAGAGACTCTGCTGGAGTTGCTCTTAGGCAGTATCCGCAGAGGGATTTGATAATTAGGCAGTCCCGCAAATATCAATCAAATGAATTCGTTCCATCTTTAAGCCCCTTTAGAATGATGAATTTTTTTCATTATATGTTTCACGTGAAATCGAACTGAATCGAGTAAAAATTTCTACACGATTTCTGTAGATTCTTACCTCCTAGATGTTGAAGATCTTGGAGTTGGTTCGCGAATTGGCACAAAAAGGCTTCATGTCCGATGTTGTTCGTAAGAAGCACTAAATTAATGCTACTAGGAAAGTGGGAGTATATTGGAAGAACTTGTAATATTGTTTCTATTTTATTTTAACTTTTTATATAATTTTGAGACTGAAAAAAATACATAGTATAATATGATTCGGTACTGCTCGTTCTATCACTAAATAACTGTCGCTTTTGATTTTTGCGCCATAAGTTTAACTGTATTAGTAAAAGATACGTGCAATATTTTTATCTCTAAATAAATTTATTATAATAATAGATTCAAATATCTATATAATAATATTAATTTTATATTACAAAATATTAATATTATATTTATTTATTTATTTATTTAGTCAAACTTATTTTTCGGAGAGCGAAAACGACCCTCTTCGTTCGGGACAGAGGTGTAGAAACCAAATGGAATTCATTATTTCTCGGACATAGAAAACTAAGGGCCTGTTTAGTTTAAAAAAATTTGCACAGTACTCGTTACATCGAATCTTGCGGCACATGTATGGAGTACTAGATGTAGACGAAAAAAAACTAATTGCACAATTGGATGAGAAATCACGAGACGAAACTTTCGAACCTAATTAGTCCATAATTAAACGAAAGTCCTAGGTAGCCAAAACCTAAAAAAATTTTACATCTAAACACGCCCTAAAAGTTCAAAAAAAAATAATAGTAGAAACCTGACACCCACATAAAAAAAGTGAGAACTAGAAACAACCGCCGTGTCACACCACACGGCGGCCAGAGCCGCCACAAATTCGTGCTCTCTCCGTCCGCGGTGCTCACTGAAACTCCCGAATCTCCCAGCCACCGCCGCCGTGCAGTCAAACCATGCAGGCGGTGGCGTTCACGTCGGCTCCGGCCATATTCGGCTCCGCCTCGGCCTCCGCCTCCGTGCGGCCCTGCCGCAGCGTGGCTCCGGTCATCGTCTCCTCCAACTCCGGGCGACCCCGCCGCCGCGGCGCGCGTGGCGCCATCCAGTGCGAGGTCGCCTCTTCCTCGGCGCCATCGGCAGCTGGACCCCAGGCCGTCCGGTGGGCCCAGAGGACCGTGGTCATCCCGCCTCAGCGCCGCGGGTGCCACCTCATCACCAACAAGGTGCTCTTCTCCTCCATCATGCGCCCCCTCGCCCCCTGTCGTTCCTAGTAGACGTACATAACTTCAGTTTGCCTGTCGGGTGAGGTGATAGTGTTGTTTATCGTCTGTCGCAGATCGTAAACGAGATAAGGAATGACCTGGCCGAGTTCAAGTGTGGCATGGCGCATCTGTTCTGTACGTATTTATTCACAATGGATGCGTTTCCTGCAATTTTTTTGGTGCATAGTTGATTTTGTGTATCAATTTTTTCTCTCAGTGATGAAAGTTGCGTGATTATTTAGTGTCGATGGTATACTACTGTCAGTCAGAATCATTAAAACGGAGACCATACGATAAGTAGGCCACTGGACGGTCACAATATCTGGAGTTGGTCTGCGTTCCCAGTGCTTTTCATGTCAAAGCTAGTATGGACAATTGGAAATAGGTACATTGAGAAGCTTTGAAAAAGTTGTGATCATTGACTGATGAATGCATCATTCGTGAGCGGATATGCTTGGGAGAGAATTCAAGCAGAACTCACTAGAACAACCATAATTTGAATACTTTTTTTATTTAGTCTCATGGAGATTCAAGTTCTGAGTGGATTCTAGCAGTTGGCTCTTACATCTATATACTATCAGTGTTGGCAAATTCTGTAGGTCTTGTTTTTGTTGTAGCGATGTCAGTATTTCTTATTCTCATGTCCACCATTTGAGATTTTGAGCACTTGTGCGATACATAGATTTTTCCCTTTTGGCATTTATGCAAAAAAGGAAGAAAGAAAAAGAATTTGCTGTTACTTGACTTTGTTGCCCGTTCAGGCGCATAGGAAGAAAAAGAAACAATATTCATGTAGACTAGCACTTGCTGCTAAGAAATATTGGGTATAATGAAAATATATTCAATTCATGTATTTTCATGGTGATTCTAATTAGAAGAGAGAAGAACAGAAACTTCAGAAAGAAGAAGTACCCATGAAACCTCATGTTATATTAGATTGAATTTTTATGTAGACTTTCTGTATGCAGTCTCTGACAAGTATATTTCAGATACAGTTCTCAATATTTTTAGCACTAGTAAAATGGTCATGCTCTACAGTGCAGCACACAAGCGCTTCGTTGACTATTAATGAGAACTACGACTCTGATGTCCAGGCTGACACTGAAACATTTCTTAGTCGCATTGTTCCAGAGGTGAATGCCATGATATATCTTGTTTGATTCTGTTCATGGAGAGAACATTAAACTGGTACTTTAATTCATGTTTTTGTTTTTATTATGATCAGGGTCCATCTGCTCCATGGAGGCACACTATGGAAGGTTAGTTCTTTGCCAACTGATGTGGTTGGTCTTCAGCATTCCTTTTTACCATTATTTGTTTTCAATTATAGCATTGTGCCTATTATTATTTTAAGAGACAGACAAACAACTATAATTTGAATATTAGTATTTTTAGGAATCTTTTTCATCCTGCTATTATAGCGTTGGAGTAAACTCTAGTGTAGCAAATATTGGAGCTACTGTTCTTTTTAAAATTTCACACATTGGATGTATCTTATTTGTGTCATTGTTTCTGTTGTTTCTACTTTTTTAGGCAGAGACCATGCATTATGCATGCATGATTTAGATCACTCACAAATTGTCAAGTTCTGTTTGCAGGACCTGATGACATGCCAGCACATATTAAATCATCAATGTTTGGTTGTTCCCTGATGTATGTAGACCCCCTTCACCCTTCCCAATAACTTTTGATGTGTCAAAATTGTATTTATAACTCTCGGTGTATTGCATCAGGATTCCTATCACCAATGGGCGTCTCAACATGGGAACTTGGCAGGCACGAAAATATCTAACTTGGCTTGTACCATAGTGGTGCCTCTAGTATCAGTGTTTAAGGTTCTGTTTTCAAGGTGGCTGTTGAGAATAAATGAGGATTTCAGATAAAGAACTGAGTAAAGTTATAGTATAAGCACAAGTTAGTGTATTAAGTCTGCAGCAAATTGCTTTGGGATTATTACCCGCAACATCGTGTCAATATTTGAAGCAGCTAAAACTCATTGTTGTTTATCCCCAAGGTTCCCACCTGTTCCAGTTTGGTACACACCAGTGTTGCGTTATGTCGGACTGCACACTGGGGACCTAGGGTTGCTAGCGTGTGTAGCAGGATCCATACGCATGTGGTGAGGTTGAGTGTGGTCTGTGAGTTATGTGCATCTGCCTTACTGTTGAGTATATCACAAAAAGCAAAAACAAAAATGATCAGTGATCAACCTAGCTATATCTGGGACCTAATGTTGAGCATTCTGATTTTGTAGGGTATTTGGCTCTGTGAACATCGAGACTATGCTACTCCTCGAAAGATTGTGATCACGCTCAATGGAATCTAATCTAAAGTGATCTATGTTATAGCTGGAAATGCAATGCAGCAATTTCAACATGTTTAAATCAGATGCACCGAAATAGAAACTTTTGTCCCAATTGTGATATGAGCTCCAGTGGAGAATGTTACTTGTAATATGATGCTAGTATGAGGGGAACAGAATCTCCTAACGAGCTTCTTCTCATGTTGAGCTTGTTTAGTTATCTTTGATGGTTTAAAGAAATGCTTTTATAAGTTGTTATAAACACTGAGGTTGTTTTTGTTTAGTTCCCTAAGATGGCTAAGAAATGTTTTATAAGTAGTTTCAAGGAAAAGCTCCATTGCCTTTACTCCCCTCCTGCTGTCAACAGGTTTTCACTCATGGGCTCCTAGGAAGTGCCAATTCTCTATTTGGCTTGCAGTCCAATGGCTGTTGGACAGCTGATCGCTTGGCTCAAGGGAGGGTTGGGTTGATCAAGTTGACGAAAATTGAACACTGTTTGACGTGATGTTTGCTCTCAAGACACAATAGTCTCCCTTGGAGGATGAATACCAAGCAGCGCAACATTGATCTGGACACAAGGTGCCCGGTGTGTATGTGTTTTTTTTTAGTTGTGTATGTGGTTTGACGAGAAAGAAGGACAATGCTTTATGAAAACCGACGTGCAAACAAGCAACATCGAGGTGAGGATAGCCACAACGTCTGGCAGGCTGGTGTCTGACGTAAGAGAAGAGGAAAACATGGATCTATTAGTGTGAGAAGAGGAAGGGAGAAGTTTTAAATATTAAAAAAAGAACTATGTTATATTGGCAATGCCAAATCAGAAAAAAGATGTGTATGTAGCTGTTATGGGCCGGTGGTGCACCACTTAATAAAGTTTAGGATTATTTCTCAAAAAAAAAAGTTTAGGATTAAGTTGGTGAATCTAAGTGGAATGCTCTTACAAGTAGCTCGCGATCCAAGTGACCCAAATTCACAATACAATGCCATAGAGCCGAGGGAAACTGAAAAAAGGAAGACTGATCCTATGCTCATGCTCTAGGGGTCTGTTTGGATCAGAGCCAGGCAAACCTGTCTGGCGCGACCACGGCTCCTAGCGTCTGATTTTGAATGCCTGACACTAGGATGGCTGCATGGCCGGTGGCCAGGAGTTGCCTGCCGTAATCGCTTACGGCTAATTTGGAAGCTAGGGAGGAGGTACACCTAGAGATGAAAAACCCCTTCATAAAAATTTAAATAATTATTTAAATTATTTCCCATGAATTTTTCACTGTGGAAAAAAAGGCAGGGATCAAGGGGAAATTAGCTCTTACTCGCATTTTTCAGTCAGACCTCTCGGGTAATTTGTTGTTCAACAGCACGGCGTCCTCTTCCGTTGCTCAAAATCCCCCAGCGCACTCCAGTCCAGGCAAAGCCGCGCCAGGCATGTTCGCTTCTATCTGCCGGCGGCGGCTCCTCCGCCTTCGCCAAATCCCCTCCGACGCCGGCATAAACCCCAGCCTGCCCAACCCCAGCGATGCCCTCCTATCCCATGCCTGCTCCTCAGCTGCCCTCGCGGGCTTCCCCGTCTCCAAGCCCTGCCCAACCACCATCTCCTACCTCATCTCCTGCGGACTCTCCCCCGCCGCTGCGTCCGCCTGCAAGCGCCGCATCCGCTCCACCGCCAAGGCCGACGCCGTCCGCGCGCTCCTCCGCACCTACGGCTACACTGACGCTGACATCACCGAGGTTGTCCGCAGAGACCCGTCGATCCTCATCCTCGACCCTGACCGGATCCTCCGGCCGAAGCTCGATCTTTTTGCTTCCCTCCGCGTCAAGCCGCGGACGCTCGCCACCGCGCCGACCCTCCTCACGCGCAGCCTCGACAAGCACCTCCTGCCCTGCATCCAGTTCCTCCGCGGCATCATCGGCGTCGACAGCGACGTCAGTTCCGCGATCTGCCGCGCCCCACGCGCCCTCCACCAGGCCGACCTGGACAAGAACATGCGCCCGGTCGTGGACGCCCTCCGCCGACTCGGCCTCCCCGACAAGTCCATCTCGAAGCTCCTCACCATCGACATGTGTGTGCTCACAATTTCTGTCGACCGCATAACCCAGATCTTCGATGACATCAAGGCGCTCGGCCTGGGCGTAACAGACACGGGCTTTGTCTACGGCGTCAGCCGGTTCTGCCGCCTCAGTAGGGAAACGTGCCTGCGAAAGGTGGCCCTGTACCGGAGCTTCGGCGTTTCTGAGGGCGACCTCCAGAAGGCGATCAAGAGGCAACCCACGATACTGGGCTTCTCTGATGAGAGCATAAAGAAGAAGCTCCGGTTCTTCCTGGATGACTTGAAGTTTGAACTAAGCGAAGTAATGGAGCGACCTGTGCTCATAGGGTATAGCTTGGAGAAGACCATCATACCAAGGTGTGCTGTGATAAGCGTTTTGATGAGGGAGAGAAAGATTGACCCCAACATCAAGTTACCTTGGGCTTTGCTTGGTAGTGCCAAGGTTTTCTCTGAAAGGTACGTCTTGAGGCATGCTCAGGATGTGCCAGATGTTGTTAAGGCATATGAGGGTAAAATTGCATTTGAAGGATTTAGGGATCGGGATGTTTTAGTTCCACTGAAGCCATGAGGCTAGTCTAGTAGGATTAGATCACAAGGTTAGGGATCGGGATGTGTATAATTCTGATGAAGGCTCTTCCAATAATATTGGGATCTTGAAATATGTCGCTGGAATGACTTTAGTGCTTCTTTTACTTCCGGGATGAAGATTTTCATTTATTAACAAGGAAGATCCCCATTTTGTTGATCCTCATGCAATGTGTTCATCCACTGAGTTTCACATACAGAACAGTTAGGCGTTTAAAAGTGAAAGCTTCTTTGCTCTCTTTACAAAAGGGTTCTTCTGGGTTTGATGATTTCTTTTGTCCCTGTTGTATTTGTCAAGTTTGTGCATAAAATTCCTATTCTAGATGGGGCTCTTGCCATGGTGAGTTACAATGCCGCCAACTTAATCTTAAGCTGGATAGATCACTGTAGTGGAGATAAAGCTGATGAATTTTCTTATTGTTGCGTGCCTATGTTACATCAAGTCATTAATAATAATGAAAAAGAACAATTTCATTGGGAAATACAGAGTGGTAACAAATAGCTGTTGACATAAATTCATCTCTTGTATAACCTTGGTTCCACCAGGTGAGTGGAGGGCTTCCATAATTCTCAGCGTTGAGACATTACTAGGATACTGAGTAAATATTACCTCAATATGTGAGTGAACACAATATTTGATTAACTTCAGTCAATAATGAGCTCCGTGCCACTGTCTCCATTGGAGAAAAGAAGTGCTTGAGGATTAACACTCTGGTACTCCACTATTTGCTCTCCATACTTGCACCCTGAACAGCGCCTACTAGAATCTGCATCTAAGGTGTAGTTTGTGGTTTATCGTTTGCTAATATGCAAAGTATGACCTCAAAGGATGCTCCTGACCTTTGCAATTGTTGGCATATGATTGATGATTTTTTATAGCTGGTTTGTCCAGTTCTTTGTGTTATAGTGTTTTGTTCAAAATTTGACAAATATACTTCTTAATAATGCTTAGCTGAAGTTTCATCAAGGTGTCCTTTTCTTTGGTTGAGAACTGAGAACTTGATTTGTCAGTGTTTCACACCATTCTAACTCTTGGCTATACTATTAACTTAAAAATGAGGTTTGTTCCTTTGTTTTCAGTGTCCTAGAGACAAATCTCTCTCTCTCCCCATCCATATGGTATATTTTGTACGGGGTAAGCTATTTATCCCCATTGTTAAATTATCATTTAGGGGTTCTTGTGTTTTACCCCTGTTTTGAAGTCCAATTGTGATTTTGCCCTCATTTATGTAACTTTGTGATTTTGCCCTACCTTTTCAAAATGAAGGTAGAGTTTACCCCTATTCAATTTAGATGAGTTAATGGTGTCAGTTCAGCTAAAAAAGACTAATTTTCCCATGTGAATTTGCCCCTAAGTTTTTTTTTTTTGGTTGTAATCTGTGATTTTTGTAAACAAGTATTGGCACAGGGAATAATAGATTGATTATTGATTATTGAGGGTGACAGGTTACACATATATAGGCAAGGAAGACCTAGGAGTTGGCTTATGGAAACAGAACCAATCAACGGTAATCCTTGCATATAATATCTCAATAATATCTATCCTCATCCTGTGCAGGTGTGCAGGCTTAGGGCCCAAGCAAGGATGGGATGTGCAGCCCAAGGAGGCCTGCCCTACCCTATTGTCTAACAATTTTAACCTCTATTTTGACATAAAAAATCTGGACAACATTTTGAAATGATTTTAAAATTTGCAAATATTTGAAATCTATGAAAGGTTTAAGAAGTTGCATATGCTTAATCAACCATTAGCGGAACCTGGGAGGGAGGTTAGGGGTTAGTACCGTCTTTTATTTTTTCTTTTTCTTTAATTCACTTGTTTGACCTTCAGCTAATATAATCTAGAACAGGGGTGAACGAGGGTAAAATCACAAAGTTGAAAAGACGAGGATAAAATCACAATTGGCCTTCAAAGTAGGGGCAAGAACAACAATCATTATCATTTGAAACATAGTGGTCGCATATGTTTTGCATGCATTGCCACCCAATTGTTCTTGGATGGTGGCATTTTTTTCCACTGATGGTTTGAATTTTACTATGACAAGCACATCAAATGGTGATACATATTTATGGTTAATCTCTTTTCATTTTCGTGGCATCAAGGCTGCAGTAGGATAGGTAATTGCCAGGGACCAATTGTTCATGTTGTCTTGGCCACTTGGTTAGTGCTCAGAAATGAATCCTTCTCAATTACACATGTATCTAGTTCTCTCAGTAAAATTATGAATCTGCATGGTCCAGGAAAATAGCAGATCTCATTATTACCATCATATGAAAACTCCATGCTTGACCTTTTTTTTTTGTATTTTAAAGTTTTTTGAAAAAGATAATTGTTTCCTATGGAATACAATAGTATCAAGATGCTAGTCGTAATACAATTTGTTGATAATTTTCTTTCCAAGTCTGGACACGCATTTTTATATGTAGCAGCACTCAGTTTCTGGTCGTAATTCATTGTACCAGTTCTGTATTCGATCTGTCTTCTCTCCACCTGCCTGTATTCTTGTTCTGTTGCATAAGTTCCTTTTACAACCTTGTACCTTCGCACAGACAAGCAACAGACCTTGTTCCCCTCCACAAGGCATGCCACCTATGCTCCACCCTACCACCTAAACGCACATCTGTGCAGAAAACGTTTTCTGCCGTCCTTTCTCACTCCACATAGGCCAACTGCATACTTTCTGACACAGCGATGAACAGTTGCATAGCAGCAACGTCCCATGCCACCACCAGAAAATCCATGTTCCAAAGCCTATTGTTCAAAAAGAAAAAGAATTGCAAAACTAATATATCATAAATGTGAAAATGATGATTAACATGTTCCCAATGCTGGACAACTGGAATATCTTGATTTCTCCTTGTATTGTTGCTAGCAGTGCTGCAGGTTCATGGGAGGCAGCCCTGGAGTGCAACCACATAACTCGCTGCTGGAGATCTGGTTCAGAGCAATATGGACATTGGTGAAGGGGGGGAGTAATGTTCTAGAAGTTAGCAAAATTCATCTGGTCACTCCCTCCCAGTTTTAGCAACAATGACTGGTCATCCTTATTATGTGGACAGCTATGGCCACCTATTCCTTGTTGCTAAAACTGGGAGTGAGTGACAAGGACAATGGCAGTTGAGACAGGATCCAGGACATTGCAATGGGAATGCCATTACCAAGGCAGGTAACATACTAACAGCAGGCTGACAGTTCACTCTGTTGCGAGAAGAGCGTGGCATTGGCAGCCATCCTGACAGTGACAGAAGCCACACGGCTGGTGGCTGAGGTGGAAGATAGAGATCACTGAGGGTGCTAAAGAATCAGTTATGAGGAATATATTGCGGTAAGCTTAATTCAATTCTTGCTTTTTTGAGGAATTTACTAGGAGGAAAGTTTCTATATGAAGGTTTGAACTGTACATTCATTAATTCAAGTGAGCATTTAAGACATATACTAGAAACTGTGTAATAACTGACATCATGAGTAATCACAAAGAAACCATCCGTAAGTATTTTATTATAGAGTTGTTATTCCATCTCTTTCCTGCTCTGCAGGAGAAGAAGATACTGAATAATTTACTTTTCTGTGCAAGTTAGTTTTCTAGGTTAACGCTCGCAACCAGTGGCTGGCGTTTTAAGAGAACTTTATTTATAGCACTGTTTTGTTTGGTCTTGGCCGAAGCTACTCTTTTGCCTCTTCTCCGCAATCTAGCATTGAGAGTTTAGAACCCTTCTTGCCTCTTCTCCACAATCTAGCAGGAGAGTTTACAACCCTTCTTCTGTGGGTTTGGTGGATATTTGTCAAGAAATCAAAGTCTCATGTGTGGTAGGAAATTTTTCTTTCCTGAGCTTGTTTATTTAGAGATTTCAACTTTCTGAGGTTGTATTCCATTTTTCTTCCAATTTTAATTCTCTTATTTCCAGAAAAATGTTTAAAGGCATAATGCTCATACCCTGCTGTTTGTACTCCTCAAGTGTTGGGTGGGTTTATGTTGCCCTCTTAGGTAGCGTGATCATTTGACTTTATGTGTTTTTCCATCGATGCGGGATGCTGCTTTCCTTGCTTTACTAATTTGTCACTGTATCAATAAATATTGGGTTAATGTTATGAAAAAATGTTTCAGTTTTCATCTGTTGCAGGTGCAGTGTTTTAATGTCTGTGCATAATGCTTTTCCCTTCTCAATTGCAGCTCTTCCATATGTGCATCTCACAGAACTATTTTAAATGCAGCATGCTCCTCGTTACCAAATGGTAGTAATATATCCTCTTATCTTTCTTTTCCTTCTATTGCTTCATGGAGCTAGTGCTGCTTTGAAGGATCCAGTACAGAAATGGCAGACTCTAAGCGGTAAATATGCTAACAGCTAACGTGTTATATTTCTGTACAAAGTTATTTGATTGAACATATCCTATGTATTCAATGCATTGCACTGCATGATATTGCATTATTGCTGACCCTCTTACTCTGTAGGTGCCCCTCCATTAGTCATAGCTCGTGGTGGGTACTCTGGGCTGTTCCCTGATTCAAGCCAATTCGGGTACCAGTTTGCCCTGTCGGATAGTCTGCCTGAAGTTGTTCTTTTCTGTGATTTACAACTTTCAAGTGACAATGTTGGATTCTGCAAGACTGGCTTGGCACTTGACGATTCAACGCTAATAGCTAAGGTCTTCCCTAAGAATGACAAGACATACAAAGTGAATGGAGACGATCTGCACGGATGGTTTTCAGTCGACTTCACTTCAAATCAGCTAATGGACAATGTCACATGTAAGTAAAAATTACTCGAGTAACTTTTCAAGAAGCTTGTGTCTATTTTTTTTTTGTATGCTTGAAGATTTTCATGAAAAAATAAGAAACGAGTTGTTTGAATTTCCTTGCCTTATGGAGTACCTATAAGGTTCGTTTGGGATTATTAATAGGTTTTAACTGTGAAACTTCTCTTCTAATCTCCAAACAGTATCTACTTAGTATGTCATGCTCTGACTATCCTGTAGTGATCCAGAATGTTCTGTCTCGCCCAAGCATATTTGATGGCACCATGGGAATTAGCCTTGTTGATGATGTTGTAGAACTCCGCCCTCGTCAACTTTGGATTAATGTACAGGTAAACATGATTTCACTGCTAGCTATATAGTTCTTCCCCTGGATTTGGAATGTTGGTTCCACACTCATCCATGTTTTCCTCCTATTGAACTATTCTCCTGCCAATAGCTGTTCTTACGTTCCTGTTTGTAGTATGGCCAGTTCTTCCTAGATCACAAGTTAAATATCGAAGAGTATATATCATCGAGAGCAAAAAAAATTGGGGTCAATTATGTCTCCTCACCTGAAGTTGGATTCTTGAAAAGCCTTGGTGGGAAGCTCGGGAAAAGCAATGTGAAGCTCATTTTTCGGTTTCTCGATCAACAACTCATTGAGCCTTCCACAAAACAACCTTATGGAGCCATTCTGAAGGACTTGAAATCTGTCAAGGCCTTTGCCTCAGGAATTCTCGTCCCTAAGACTTACATTTGGCCTGTAGACAAGGATCATTACTTGCAGCCTGCTACTACTTTGGTGAAAGACGCCCATGGCCTAGACTTGGAGGTCTATGCATTTAAGTTTGCCAATGATTTCATTTCAAGTTACAACTACAGCTATGATCCTAGTGCTGAGTACTTGCAGTTTATTGATAGTTCTGACTTCTCTGTTGATGGTTTCCTCACTGACTTCCCATCCACAGCTTCAGCAGCCATTGGTAAGGACCACTGCATGGTGAAAAAGCTAAACTGTTGTTCAAAAGTAGTTCGGTGTAGACTAAATTATGCCATAAGAGTATGAAGTATGATTTTTTATCACTTCATGCTCGAGAAGTTACAATGATTCTTATGATTTGACGTGATCATTGATTCTTCTATCATGCACTCTCTAACCTCTGCAGGTTCTTTTGTCTTTCTTATTGTAGCTTGCTTAGCACATACTAAGGACAGCCCTCTTCCTCCTCCTGGAAGTAAGAAATCTGTCTTTTAACCTCTTGTCCTAATTGAGATATTCTGCCATATTGCACTGCACTAATATCTGAACTTGGCTAGATGATACCAGACCACTGATCATCACCCACAATGGTGCATGTGGCTTATTCCCTGGCTGCACCGACCTTGCATACCAACAAGCAGTGGAAGACGGTGCAGATATAATTGACTGTTCAGTACAGATGTCAAAGGACGCAGTGCCCTTTTGCTTGGACTCCCCGGATCTTACAAAAGGCACGACAGCTGCAACAGTGTTCTTGACAAAAGCTGCTACTGTGAATGAAATACAGAATGGGTCTGGCATCTTCTCATTTGATCTTCTATCGAACGAAATCCAAACTCTAAAGCGTAAGTATCATTCCATTTTGTTTGCCACAAGTTCTTGCTTCTCAGTTCAAACTGTTAGCATGTTCCACGCTAACACCTTCGTTTTGGTTTTGTCCCTTAAGCTGATCTTGTTGGCCCATACAATCAAGAAGGACTGAAAAGAAATCCGGCAGCAAAGAACAGCGGGAAACTCATGACTTTAGTTGATTTCCTGGCCTTCTCAAAGAGCAGCAACATCTCTGGCGTACTAATCGATGTTCGTGTAAGGAAGCTTTCTTGAATCCATTCTTACTGCCATTGTAATTGGCAGATTAGACTTGTAGTGTACTTAAATATGAGTCTAATTTAACTAACCTGATCAGTAGGGCTACAGAAATCATGGACGCTTTTACATTTCAAGTCTCATACTTTGCAGAATGCCCCATACCTTGCAACCAGAGGCATTGACATTGTGGATGCTGTCTCCAGCGCGCTTATCAATGCCAGCTATGACAAAGAGACCAGGCAGCAGGCGCTCATCGCATCGGACGACTCCGCCGTGCTCAGAGCATTCAAGAAGTTCCCAGCGTTCAAGCGCGTCCTCCAGATTGGCAATGCGATCAGCGATGTGTCCAAGGCATCCGTGGAGGAGATGGCCAAGTTCGCGAACGCCGTGTCCATCAGTCGGGGCTCAATTGTCCAGGCGCAGGGGTCATTCCTCTTGCGGTTCACTGATGTGATCGACAAGATGCACGCCGCAAACCTGTCGGTGTATGTCGGGCTGCTCAGGAACGAGTTCATGAACCTTGGGTTCGACTTCTGGGCTAACCCAATGGTTGAGATCGTGACGTACTCATCTCTGATGGCTGATGGGATTGTGACCGAGTTCCCTGCAACAGCAGCGGAGTACTTCAGTGAGTATATGTCAGCGTAACATTCTGAACTGCTGAGCGTCCATATTCTTACCAGCATGGCTTACATTCTTAAATCTCCTGCTTTTAAATGCAATGTAGGGAGCCCATGCAGTGACTTCAGTAAGAACCTGACCTACACGATCATGCCTGCAAAGCCTGGGTCTTTGCTCAAACTGACAGACCCCAGTGCGCTGCCTCCGGTGCAGGGGCCAGCACCAGTGTTGGAACCTGCCGATGTTGTGGACCCACCGCTGCCACTGGTGACCATCAGTAGCCCTGGAGCTTCAGCATCTTTGAATGGTTCCAGCACTACCAGCGGTGCAAGGGTGTCCACTGCAAGCTCTGGTATTTACTTGTTGGTAATTGGACTTTCTGCATTCTTGTTAGTGAGCTCTCAGTAATCTGAAGCCTGGGTACTGGAACTGTATGCGGTTTGTTCAGCATTTTGACCCTTCCCATCAGGGCTGATTTATACTGCAAGAAAATGTACTTTAAGCAGGTAACACACATATCATAAAATTTTGTTTTGTTGTTTGGAATTTGGATGCTAGACTTGTACGAGTAACATACTATATATAGCAGAGCTGCAGTTTGCACAACCAATTCGTTTCCAGGAATTATTGCAAATTTAGAAATGCTAGTGACTTGCATAAAGACGAGATGCTTGCCATCAGTTCATTTTAAATTCATTACTAAAATGAAAGAGGCATATCGGCAAATTTTGGTTTTGCTTGAAGGATAATTTGTTTCCTGCCACTCCCATGACAGATTTATGTGTTAAGTCCTAAAAGGTGTGTGAATTGGGATCTCAGAGCAACTCCAAGAGCCTTTCTCAACTTGAATTCTATATTTCTATTTGGGTCACATCTATCTTGCTATCTACGTACTCCGTTCTGAAATATAATAGATTTTGAGTTATCCTGATTTGAACAATCTTATATTTTACTAATATTTTTGTAATATATCTCTTTGATATCGAAAATGATATTATTCTTCCTCATAAATTTAGTTAAAGATAGTTTTATTAGAATAAATTTGGATCAATGTATTTCATGAGAGGTTGTATGAAGCCGTCGCTTACTCCAGCTACTCCTCTCTGACGATGGCTGTCCGCCTCCCCGCCGCTGTCCCACAAGTATTCCTCCTATTCGCACTCATGCTCTATTGCGTACTTCTTCCGGAACATCCACGGGCCACTTTTGCACTGACGACCCTGACCTCATCTACTGTGTACTATGTTTATGGCATTTGTTGTGTTATATATAGTTGGAAAATGGTTGATTAACTGTGTCATCGTTCGTTGCCGTTTCTTGCGTGCAGCAAGTGCTGTGCCGTGTAGGAGTGCTCTAAGCCTCTAATACATGGAAACTCATGCGAAACATCTGAGATTTAGGTACATGAATGTATGACCTGCCATCAACAGTTGGATTGTTTGAATTTGGAAAGGAATATATCAAATTATAGAATTTAGAATAGGAGAAGATTCGAGCAGCTTGAAGAACAAGCTAAACAATCCTATACCATCAATGCTGCCCACTGCTTTTGTCTTACAGTTCTGTGATGTGAATTCGGGGATTCGTGGGATGTGAATTCATTGGCTATCATAGGAGATCAATTAATTCATGCATCTCAGTCAAGTGCTTTTGGATTGTGAAAATGTGCTATCACTATCAGATAGGATGTGATTTTCAGATCTGTGCAGTGCTTATGAATTGATGCATAGAGTGCCATTTGGTTTCTATATTGTGATTTTTCATGTTCCCGTTCCACCCTGTTGTTTGTCATCTGTTGTTTACAGTAGTGTCTTTGGGCACTTCTAGACTATGATTTCTTTTAAATTTTAGGGCACTTGGCTGCGACATGAAGTAATTTGACAGGCATGTCTTTTGAGAATATGACAATGATAGTTCAGCATTATGCTATCTTTAAAAAAAAATAGTTCAGCCTTATGCTGTCAGGAAGTACCCTTACTGAAGCAGTACACTTGGAGCTGACCATTTCTGTCACATCACATGCGACATAATGTTGGCTACATCCTGCACGAGGATGTTGCTCGTCGGCAATTATTGCAGCCATTGGCTCTTCCTGCAGGAGGAAATGGCATTTCTAACATGTTGAGATGATACTTTCTGCTTGCATTTCGTGCATATTGTTAGCAAATTTACTATTCTTCATATGGCTATAACAATATTCTACAAACTACTGAAGTACGTTTTCTTACTTTTTGAATGGAGACAGGATGGTCCTTGGTTTTTGGGGGCTGGCCAACGCAATTCGTTTAGCACAAATTCGGGAGAATGATACAGGTAGTTTAGCAGAAGCAATTTTGTCAGACCTAGTTCTGTATATGTCCTGATGGTTCCCAAGTTAGTAGCGCTCGTATATCTGATTCAATCCACTATAGTCGTGTTCTTGTTTAGTGTTTCTATAAGATTGATCTGTTTGTGCCAAAGATATACTGTAAGTCATGGTTGTCATTGTCTTATTTTCTAATCATATAACCACGATTTCAGTTATTTTGAGAGACTATTTTTGAAAGTTATTTTGTCAGACCACTATGACCTACCTTTCAGTGATATCCTTGACTGGAGGAGGTTTACAGTCGTTCTGAAGTGGAGTGATGTTTACCAGCTAAGAGTACTTTGAAGTTTACTAAGAAGAGTTCGTTGCTTCACACATTTCTCTGGTTAAGGTATGCTTATCTTGAGCAACAGAGTGACACACGAGTTTAGTCCCTTCTGACAAATCAGTAGCACACTAGCGTCATGACTATCGCTAGAAGAGGCCATCATTCTTTTTTATTTTTTGTTAAGACAGGAAGCCATCAAATTTGGTATAGCACTATACTAAGTAATCACCTGTAATTGCTAGTCCAGAAGGATGTCGAGTAGCATTCACCTGCCATCCCACATGATCCCTTTCACATGATCATGTATGAACTGTGGCTGCAGGAACCATGTGATCAAGTACTAATGCCTTGTCTAGTTCCTCCCCCTAAAGTTTACCCTCTATCACTTCGAATGTTGGGACACATGCATGGAGTATTAAATATAGACTAAAACAATAACTAATTGCACAGATTGCGACTAATTTGCGAGACGAATTTTTTAAGCCCAATTAGTCCATGATTTGACAATGTGGTGCTACAGTACATGTGCTAATGATAGATTAATTAGGCTTAATAAATTCGTCTCGCGGATTAGTGAGGACTTCTGTAATTTGTTTTATTATTACTATCCAAACACTTCTGTGTGACACCCCGATATGACACCCGATGTGATATCCCTAAACTTTACTTCGTGAATTTAAACACCACCTAAATCCAAGATCATCGCAGGATGATTCCAACAGAAGCCCCTGATCAACTGACAAGGCAACGTCATGTTTGACCACCTGGTAGCGTAGACAGAAGATGCCTGAACTGCTAGGTTGAACATGGAGCACTGGATCTAGCAATGCCAGACAGCTGCCTGATGAGTTATGGCGAATGTCTGCATCAAAGATACTAATATGTAATTGTTGAGGCTGCACCTAAGTTCTGCCCTGTAGATTTTTATGCAGGAGTTCTCCGTTTTCTTTATTCGGTTTTCTCTAGGTTTGCTCACCCTGAGTGGCAGCAAGGTTACACATGCTGCTAGATCTGCTTCAAGCTTCAATCGCTCGTAATGCTGTAGTAGTTCTTTTGTGAACTAATGCAAGATAATGTGGATATGATAATATAGATCTGCAGGTTGGATTTTGATCTGACAGAGGCTATGATAATCCATTATCTTATCTTGTAATTTACCCTCCACCGTCAGCTGTTTTTTACTTGTGCTTCGATACTACTGTTGTGCTGTTGGATCTAGTTGCGCACAACTGTACAAGCGGAGTTTATCTGCTTGTTTTAACTGGATCACTTCGCTTGTACAGTTGTACACTTGTACCGCGAAACTGGATGGACTGTTTGTCAAGGCTGCTGTTCCAGTACACATGTAGATGCAGCATGCTTATGCACTGTCGCTGCCCTTACACTTGCACTCTTCTTGTGATTCTCTTTGAGCCTTAACCATTAATTAGCGCACGCTGACCTGCTTTATGAGCCTAGCTTGTTTCACAAGCCTTTCCTTGAGTGACTGCACACTGATACCACTGCATTTTTCTAATGCAGCATGTGAGCTGTGACAGTAAACATGTCATCGGGGCGCATGCCGTTGCCGTTGCATGAACCTTATTTCTGGGGCATATGGGTGCAGTGAACTGTATGTTGTTAACCTGTCACTAGCTGGGTCTGGGTTAGGACTAAGCAACCCGTGCTTACTGGCTAAGATCTGTCAATCACGTGCCACGAGGCGAGGGCGGTAGGGACGAGAAGTGCAGCAGGAGTGCAGTGCAGGAGGACGGGGCCGGCAGAAAAACCCCGGCCGACACGGCCGCCTGTTACATGCTCGAAGCACTAAACGCCGCAGCTTCCCCAACCCTTTACTCTCTGCTTGCTGTGGCCTGTCACACACCCGTGGTCCGTGTCCGTCTCCGTCTCGAGGAGGGCGACGCCATGATGGGCCGTGGCGACGGCACGGTGAAAGGAATACGAGGTAGACCACTGCATTCCCTGCTCGCTGCTGCGGACCGCCGGAGCAGACATGGCGGGACACCACGTTTTGTTGCGTCCGCGCGCCGGACGGACCACGGAGACACATGCCGGTGGCTCCTAGCGCCTGGCAAAGCAGCAGCAGCCCTTGTTGAATTGTTGGCCGCCTCCGGCTCCGGCTCCGGTGCACTGAACCGGCACGGCAGGTTCAAGAGCCATCACGATTTGGTCGATCAGAACCGTTGATCGTGTGATCACCAGACAGTCACTGTCACAGTAAGGACAGATCACGAGATCCACTGAGACGCAAACGCAAAAAGGAGTATGAATATGCATGGCTTTCAAATTCACGATCACAAACACAGAGGATTAGTAGGTTAATTAATTCTCGCAGCACCTCCAAAAATTAGTGACAGATCTACGTACACGCCCTAACAAACAAGCTCGCCGCCGGTGATCACCACCGCCGCCACCGTCCTTGCACTTGCAGTAAGATTATTGCGATCAGTGGTAACGACTCCAAGCACTACAAGGCCAGTTTTTTTTTTTTCCTCAGGGAACAGCGGCGCCACTGCTGCTCGCGGCAGCACCAGGCGCTGCCGCCGCCGCCGTTCGCTCGAGCACCATCACGGCGTCCCTCATGGAGGGCCGCATGCCGGGCGCCATGGCGCAGCACGCGAAGGCGAGCCTGAAGCACGCCAGCAGCGCGTCCTCCCTGCCGTCGGCCTCGCCGCGGAGCGTGGGGTCGGCCATCCGGAGCACGCGGCCGTGCTCCTCGGCGGCCACCAGCCCCGCGTGCCACTGGCACAGCTCCACCTCCGAGTAGACCCGCCCGGAGAGCAGCTCCAGGAGCACCATGCCGAAGGCGTACACGTCCCACTTGGCGGTGGGCCGCAGGTTCTTCAGGCACTCGGGCGCCTGGTACGGCGCCGGGGCCGACGACGACGACGCTGCCGCCGCCGCGGCAGCGGACGCCGACCCGCAGGGGCTCGCGCCCGGCCCGGGCATCTGGGACAGGTCCGGCAGGCTGCTCGTCGAGTGCATCGACCGCTTGCTCCCGAACAGCCGCGCCGACGCGCCCGCGCGGTAGTGCGACGCCGCCTCGCCCGACAGCAGCCGGTCCAGGCCGAGGTCGCCGATCCAGGGCTCCATGTCGGCGCCCAACAGGATGTTGCTCGGCTTCAGGTTGCCGTGCACGCCCTTCTTCTCGTGGATGTACGCCAGCCCGCGCGCCACGCCGCGCGCGATCCGCAGCCGCGCCTCCAGGCTCAGGTGCAGCGGCGACGACGACCCGAACCGCCCTGCAGATGACAACCAAGGACAGTTCTTTCAGTATTTTGCTTGATTTGCAGGTTAAGAGGACTACTAGTAGTACCAGAGGGACGAGTCTTCAAGACTTCCAGCAAAATTGCAATGATTTGTGTGAGCAATAACAAGTTTTTTTGCACTATCAGTACCTATGACCAGTACGATTAACCAAGGAGTAGATGAATCATTACTACTAATGCGCATTTAAGCTGCCGCACGTACAATCAGTAAAGTGCCATCTTTTCATAGGACTGAAGCCCAGCCAAAGACTCCAGCTTCGCAAATGATTATAGGTTATGAACTGTACAAGTGAGAGTGGATTGAAGGGACGTGATCGGTTCGGCTAATCCCGCACTTAATTACGAGATTAATTAAACGTTAAGCTTTTGGTTCACCTACTCGTCATTTATTTCTAACTAAATAAGAACTGCCGTGATCGGCGGCAACTATTAAAATTCTAAGGGTTCGTCCCCCTAGCCCACAGCGCGATTATAAATAAGAGAGGCGTTCTTGGCGTCACTATCTCTCTAGGGCCTCAACCGGCTTATCAGCTAGAATCTACAGTATTTTTTCTCTCACAACAAAACAGTTGCAGCCGGCTTTAATGCCAGCCGAACAGGCCCCTAGTTTCCGTGACTATTCACATAACCAATCGATTAGGCGCTGGAGGGTTTAGGAAGGCCGTCTACTCACGTCCATCCAGGTATTGCAAGATCTTCATCGCGTTCTTCGCCAACTAGGAGCATCAAGCCCCGATCTGGTAAAGACTAAGATCTATTTCATCTACATCAACTTTATCACATCTCCAGTGACACACATGCCGTCCACAGGCTCTAGTTAGTGTCTAAGATTAATTTCCGTATTTAGATGATTTAGTGATTATGTTTAGGCTAAGTTAACATTCTGTTACTCTAAGTTATAATTCAACATGCATCACGAGTTCTGTTAAGATGTCGGTGTCAAATCAAGCATCTTTCCGATGCAATTTTTAGTATCTGAATGAAAGTGCTGAATGTGGTAACGCAAAATAGACGACGGAGGAACTTACTGCTGAACGCGATGTTGGCGAGGCTGCCATTGGGGGCGTAGTCGTGGATGAGGAGCTTCTCGTCGGCGCCCCAGTAGAAACCGCGCAGCCGAAGGATGTTGGGGTGGCGGAACCTGGCGACGGCGCGCACCTGCGCCTCGAAGTCCTTGAGCTTTTCGGCGCCGTCGCTCTCGCCGATGCGGCGGACGGCCAGCGCGGTGCCGTTGGCGAGCACGGCCTTGTACACGATGCTCGAGCCCGTGGCGCCGAGGATGTAGGCCGACGCCTTGAGCAGCGTCTCCATCTCGAGCTCGCCGCCGTCGCTGTCGACCGTCACCAGCGTCGCAGGCGCGGGGGGCGCCTGCTGCTGGGGCAGGTTGTGCTTCTTGCTGCCGCCGTGCTCCTGCGGGGTGCTCCGGCCGATGAAGCTTCCCCCCCTCTTCTTGAGGTCCTCCTCGTCGTCGGACTCGCCGTCCGACGACGCGGAGTACTCGGAGCTGTCCGAGCCGTCGTTCCTGCGGCCAATGCAGCACCCCGTCGACGTGGACGCCCTCTCCTCTTTGCCTCCGGCGATGTCAAGCGTCTTGACCCCGCCGTCGATTCCTCGCGTGCTCTTCTGCTGCAGCGGCGGCGTTGCGTCCTGCTCCCGACGCTGCCGCCTCTTCTTCCTGACGTGGTACGCGTACATGAACAGCATGAAGAGGAGCCCGACGCCAGCGATGTCCCCGACGACGATGGCCACGATGGCCGCAGGATGAAGCTTATCCTGCCCGCTCGGCGGCTGCCCCTGGGCTCCCGGCGGGGCGCGAGCGGGGTTCTTGGGGATGGCCGCGAACGCCGGCGGCGAGTCGGTGGCGTTGGGAGGGTTCGAGAGCGACGACGGGATGGAGCATGCCTGCTTCAGCGGCGGCCCGCACAGGTTCAGGTTGCCCTCGTATGCCGCCGCCGGCTGCGCGGCGAACGGGCCGTCCTGTGGGATCGCGCCGGTGAAGTTGTTCCGCGACATGTCCACTGTCGCGTTCGCGGGGACGAGAGCGGCCAGCTCGGTCGGCACCGCGCCAGCGAGCTTGTTCGATGAAACGTTGAGCAGGCGGAGCCGTGCCCCCCCGAAGTCCGACGGGAGGGAGCCGTTGAAGCCGTTGCCGCTGAGGTCAACGAGCTCCAACGTCTCGAGGCCCCCGATGGGGAGCTCGCGGGCGAAGCGGTTGCTAGCGAGCCCCAGCACGACGAGGCAGGGCAGCCTGCACAACGCGGCGGGGAGGCGGCCCGCGAGCGCGTTTCCCGAGAGGTTGAGCTCCTAGAGACCGCGCACGTAGGCCACCGCCCCCGTGTCCGGGAGCTCGCCGGAGATGGCGTTGCCCGCGAGCGAGAGCACGCGGAGCTCGGTGGCGTTGAGCAGCGTGGCCGGCAGGCCGCCGCTGAGGCTGTTCCCGGAGAGGTCGAGGTGGCGCAGGTGCTCGACGCGGCCGAGGTCCGGCGGCAGCGTCCCCGAGAGCTGCGCGATGGGGAGCACGAGGCTGATGACCCGCGACACCGTGGCCGCCGCCAGCGACGCGCCGAGGCCGCCCGCCGCCGCGGTGGCGTTGGGCGCGGGCGCGGGCGCGGGCGCGGGAGCGGAGTTGCCGTTGCCGTCGGCGGAGGCCGAGGTCACGTTAACCGCCGCCGGTCCGGCGTTGGGCTGCGGGAAGCCGTTGCAGACGACGCCGTTCCAGGCGCACGGCGCGGCGTCGCTGTAGGTCCAGCCGGCCAGCGCGCCCAGCGGGTCCGCGGTGACCGCGTTCTTGAAGGCCATGAGCAGCACCCCGTCGGCATTGAGCCCGCGGGAGCGGGCGCACAGCGAGGCGAGAAGCAGAAGCAGCAGCCACCCCACCGCTCCCGCCGCAGCTCCGCCGCCGCCCCTCCTCCGCCCATCCATTGCCACTGCGGCGAGCGAGCTTCCTAGACGGTCAGCGCCGGCGCCAACATGTCCGTCCTCGATCCTCCTCCTCCTCCTAGGCCGCTAGCTTCCTTGGCTGCATAGCACAGCAAGCGTTGACCGACCCGCTCCGGCCGGCTTCCTTGGAAGATCAGCGCCCTCCCCTCACGGTCAGGGCTCAGGAGGAGGAGGAGCAGGTGGAGAGGCGGTGCGAGCAGTGCGAGGTTGGCAATGGCATGTGACGCTGGCGGGGCGGGGTGAGTGGAGCGGAATAAAGAAGCGATGCGCCGGGTCGGTAGCCGCGTGGGGTGGGACGGCCGTGAAACCTCCCCGGTTTTGAGCTGCCCAGCCCGGGCGTGGCTCCACGCCCCGGCCGCTATAAATTTTCGAGTTGGGGGGGCCGGACGGCAGCCGGCATGCAGTACACACGTCGTTGTCGCCTCTGACGTCGCCCCTACCGACTACTCCTACCGAGAGGGAAGAGACTGACAGGCTGCTCCGTCTCCATGGATGCAGTTTGCAGTAGCAGGCAAGTAGTAGGTGCAGCAGCTGTGCTCGGGGTCCAGGCAGGCCGTCGTGTGGTGGCGTGGATCATGGCATCGTAAAGCGTGACGCTGAGCGTCGACCTGCCGTGCGTACCCAGGCCCTCCGGTCGGCCGGGACTCGGGTCTCCATCGCCGGCCAGCCGGCCGGCCGCGCGAGCGATGCTTTTGAGTTGGGTCGCGGTTGGGGACGGACGGATAACGGATTAGTTTCGCAGATATTGCTACGTGGTCTTTGTCTTTAATCATGTGTGGTGCGCGGGTGCTGATGCAGAAAAAAAGGCTACTTTTTTCAGTTAGATCAGCGTCGTCTCTGAATGTTAGTTCCCAAAATTTTACAAAATTTTTCAAGATTTTCCGTCACATCGAATCTTCGGACGCATGCATGAAGCATTAAATATAAATAAAAAATAAAACTAATTACACAGTTTAGACGAAATTCACGAGACGAATCTTTTAAACCTAATTAGACTATGATTGAACACTAATTGTTAAATAAAAATGAAAATGCTACTGTACCATTTTCAAAAAAAAATTCCCCAGCTAAAAAAGGCCTCAGTTTGGTACTGTACCGGACGGGGTGCTGGTCGTCTCTCGTCTGTCGTCTGCTTTAAAAAAACCAATCTTTTGGACAGGAATCGGACACTTCATTCGTACTTGAACGCTGCATGCTAATGCTACGTCTGGGCAGATGTCTGCCGTTTTCATACACAAGCCCATCTGGAAGAGCTCCCGCTCCGGCTAAAATAGTTTTAGTTATAGTTTCACCTATAGAGCAGATTCACATGAGGAGCTGAATCTGTTTTTAGACCGTTTAACAAAATAGCTTCTTCTTACAATGAAAAGGAATGAAATGTCTAGAATACCTTTTTTTCTTTTTTTCCTCTCCTTTTATTTCTTTTTATTTATTCTTTTTCTCACTACCTTATCTCTACCTTATCACCCCGCACACAAATAGGCCTCGCGTAGGTCGTTGCTCCCCTGTTCCTCTTCCCCGTGCGTCGGCTTCGTCGCGCCTCCCCGTGTCGAGGCCACGGTTCCTGGCGCCTCCCGAGCAGCGCGCATCACCCTAGCCCCCCGCCTCAAGATCTCGCCGCCCCGTGCCCACCAACCTCTACGGCCATAGGCTACTCATCAAGACTCGCCTCGTCTTTGTCGTCAAGGGGCCCGCTCCTGGTTCTAGCGGATCCGGCGCCGGTATCCAGCAGACGCACCGCCGCCGCCCTCGCAGACGCGCCGGGGGCAAAGGAGACCCATGGCCGCGATGGGGCCCGCTACTGCTAGAGGAAGCCGGAAGAAGCCACAAATTTCAGCTCCTACTCTCTCTCCTCCCTTGTCTCAGTAAGAATTTCGAGGTTTCTTCTTAAAATCTGATCAGATCAGAGGCGTTTAGCAGGTGGAGCCGAAAAACATATTCAGCAGCCGACCAACAATCTGTACCAAACGGGCCTAACACTTGGCGCTACCCACCTCCTACCGGACATTTTTTTTTTATAAAACTAGATAAAAGTACTGGCTAGGCTTGCCAATTTGCCATCAGTGCTACGTAGGGACTGTTTGGCCAGGCTCCCCACTGTAGTGCCCCGCTACAGTAACACGTCAGAGGAGCCGGAGCCACTCGAATCTGTACTAAAGATGCCCATAACCTGACCGGCAGACGATGGATCAACACAAGACAACCACCTTGCCAATTTGCCATCACGAAGGCATGGGGGACCTCTGGAATAAATGCATGGATGGGATGATCGTCGTCCTGCAATGAATGCGAGACGATTTTTCCATCTATAAGGCCCTTTTTTAGATCCCACCCAAAATCCAAAATTTTTCAAAATGTCTTGTCACATCAAATCTTGCGACACATGTATGAAACATTAAATATAGATAAAAAGAATAACTAATTGCATAGTTTATCCATAATTGGCGAGACGAATCTTTTAAGACTAAATAGTCTATAATTTGATATTTTTTGTCAAATACAAACAAAAATGCTACAGTAACCAAAAACCAAAAAAATTCGCATCTAAACGGGCCTAAACCTTGATACTGTGCCATCAGTGCAGGGGTCCCCCGGAAGAGGAAAACTCGGTTGTCACGTTACTGTACAACATGCTAGTGTGAAAAAGGAGTTGGAGGACGAGAGGCCAGGAGGAGATGGAATCTTGATGCATGCATGCATGCATGCCATGCATACATGCGCCCATGCCAACGAAACCTGCATGGTGGCCACCCACGCATGCATGTGCCCATGCACGCACGACGACGACGACCGTGAAATGATCGAGCGCCGCTGCCCTGTCGTCGTAGCATGTACTGTACACGTCTGTCGCCCCATGGCCACGTACGCACGCAGCACGCACACATGTTGCTTGTCACATGGCGTGTACGCTTGTTGCCTTGTTGGGTGGTCGTGCTCATGCATGCTAGGTTTTGCTCGGTCCATCTTTCACATGGACGCGTTTGAATTGGCCGTCACATTTATATATACGTGCCATCTTAGGTCCGGTTCGCTTGTCTTATAATTCGCGCTTGTCTTATAATTCGTATTTTTCAGCTTGTTTTTTCAATCGAATAGTGTTTTTCTCTCACAACAAATCAGACGGAACAGTATTTTTACTTGTTTTTTCAGCGAAGTGAACGGGGCCTTAATCTTAGCAGCAAGATTATTACTAATCAATTGATCGCGGATGCATGCAGTCGCTTTCACAATTGAGGAAATGATTATGTGTTCACATCAAAATTTAGGAAGAAGAATGCGGGAACTCGAAGCTTCCAAGATTATGTCAATCAAGGAATCGATTGTATAATGATCGATATCAGCTGATTCAGATGCGGCACTGGAATCGGCTCTCTTCGAATACGTCAGCAGATAACGACAATGAGCTACGGTTGGCATCGGGAAATACACGTCGGGCTCTACAAAAAGGAGAAAGATTATGGTCCAAGTTATCCTAAGTTAGAAATGTTTTATTTTATATCAAAGATTGTAATGAGTCGTACTTGAGTAGGATTCATACTTAGACTCCAGGTATAAATATTGGACCCCGGCTATTGTAAAAAATCAATCAATCAATACAAATTACTTTTTTCGGCTTTACGTCAACCCTTAGGAGTAGGAGTAGTATAGATCTCGACGAGTTCTTCAACAAGCAGGGCTGCATCGGTCCGGCTGACCTCCGGCTTGTCTGTAAGTATCGTCATGGCTTATACTTCTGTTTGTACGGCTGCATCGGTTAAGTTCGACCTCCACTGCGAACTCTAGTATAAACTAATTATCGACTCTTATCTTGTTCAAGTACGGCTGTATCGGTTAAGTTCGACCTCCACTGCTCAAATTAGATTAAGATTAAGTTATCGGCTCTACCTAAGAGTGACATCCTTTGGGTAGATTCATTAAGTTACCGATCTTGCTGACGTTCTTATTGTCAATAGTTTTCAGCAACATCAACCTTCCCGATCAAGATCGATCTAGATCGGCCTTACATCCTTTTAGTCTATCGTTTGCTTTGTTACAATACGATGTTTCTTACTTTGAGCGACGGGTTATGTTTCATTGGCCGTTCTACTTCAATCTTGATCGTGCATAGTACGCGGTTAAGGCACGTATGATCTTGAGGAGGTTTGCTGGCTAGTTAAATCTGGTCTATAGTTCGCTATTATGGCTGTAACGATCCGATCGATCCCCACTGATGGCACTTTAGATTGGAGGATGCTAGTTGATAGATTTGTTCTCGATCAGGCGTGACCTTAACTATTTGCTATGTCTGTATCGGCTAAATAGCCAATCGTCTATGCTTTAACGTCTACAGTGTGTCTCCATAATTCTGTTAAATGTGGATATATCTGTTTACTTTAAATATTTGATTTGTTGTCTTTATCACGGCTGCCATCGATCCGGTCAAACCACACTGTTAGAGATAACATGTTAGGTCTGATGAGTTCATAGGTTTATCCATGTTAAATAGTCGATTGTTCACACGATGTAGTCCCTTTCACCTGAATCGGCTATTTCAGCCGATTCGCCTGAGCGTCCACACATATAACATGTCTTTCAAAAAGCCTGTCAATGTATAGATTGTTTTACAGATTCTTCAGTTTTAGTTTGTTATTATCATCATAGCTGCCATCGATCCGGTCGACCCTCACTGTTGATGGTAACAGATTAGATTCAGAGCGTTTGTAGGTTCATTTGCACTAGACAGTCGTTTTGCTCATATGCTATATCCCTTCTCGTTAGATTCATCGGCTCAATGCTTTACACTGGTAATACCCACCTAGCTGATGATTTTACTTAAATTTGCGTATACTGTACTCTTCAATATAAAATCAATCGCGATCCACGAGTTTTACAGTCCGTAACAGCCGATTTCTCTGCGTGTCGGCTATTTAGTCGATTTTCTCGTCTGGCTGCTCCCGAAGCGGCACACTTGGAACTGTCTGGGCAAAACCGGCATGTTTCAC